CAGGGCCAGGACCCCCGGCCCCGTGGCCCTCACCGCGCTTCCCTCGCCCCGCAGGCTGCTCAGGACCGCATCTCCCGCTCCCGCTCGCATGGCGGACAAGAAGGTAGTGGTGGTGTTTGGAGCCACGGGTAAGCGGAACCCCACCCCATCGGAGGCCCCGAAGCGCGGGACCTCTCACCAGCCAGGGCGCCCCCTCCCCCAGCTCGGGGAGACATCCCGGGGGTCAGGAGGGAGGGTGCGATAGGCTGGACCTCTGACCCCGGCGGGGCCGTGCGGACAGGACCTGAGCCCTGAGCGCGGATGTCCTTTGCATCTTAAAAAAATTACTTTGACTTATTTGAATGAGTAGTGATTGCACATCATACCGACATTAAATCTCCCTCCCACTTCTGTACCCCCCACCCCACCCATCTCTGTTACCAAGTTTCCTGAGTATCCTACCAAATTAGAAATATCTAAATTATTTTCAAACGATAGTGTTTTATTTTGCCCCCACTTGTTCTTTCTCTCTCTCTCTCTCCCCCAAAAAATGTATACATTTTGAATAGTTATTAATTCCAATGGGTTAAATCTAAAAAGAAACATCAATTGAGCTATCAGCTGTTAAAGTGTGTATACATTTTTGGGGTACCCTATATATATGTACTTTATATATATAACATATATAGTTATGTATGATATATACTTAAATATATATTTTAAAACATACAACAGCTTTATTGAGGTATAATTCATATATTGAGGTATGAGTCGCATACTGTTTACTCATTTAAAGTGCACAATTCACTGGTTTCTGGTATATTTGCAGAGTTCTGTGACCATCACCCAGATCAGTTTTAGAAGATCTCATCACCCCCAAAAAAGAACCCCCCATATCTGTGTGAACGGAAAAGGGGCCACATACTAAACCTGACAAGCCCAGGAGAGGCCTGCATGGTGGGCCTTACAAACTCGAAGACCAAAAATAACCACACAGAATGGTTATACAAAGTCCTAACTAGAAGCAGATTATGGCAGGTAGTTGAGTCCTACGACTATAGCTTCTTTGACCAACCTACCTTAAGTGAATCTATTATCTTTTTGCATCTAAGGTAACATAATTTTTTTAAAAATATAATTCTTTATTGTTGAAAGTATTACATTTGTTTCCCCCCACACACACCATTGATCCCCTCCAGCCCTCCCTGACCCCTCCCCCCCATCCCAGGCCTTTAGCACCCTATTGTCTGTGTCCATGGGCCGGGCATATATGCATACAAGGTCTTTGGTTGATTACCTCCCACCCACCCATCCACCCTCTCCCTCCTTCCCTCTGAGATTCCGCACTCTGTCCCAGGCTTCCATGTCTCTGGTTCCACTCAGTTCATCAGTTTATTTTGTTACTTAGATTCCACATGTGAGTGCGATCATGTGATACTTGTCTTTCTCTGACTGACTTATTTCACTTAGCATGATACTCTCCAGGTCCCTCCATGCTGTCTCAAAGGGTAAGAGGTCCTTCTTTTTTACTGCTGCATAGTATTCCATGGTGTAGATGTACCACAGCTTATTTATCCACTCACCTACTGATGGGCACTAGGACTGTTTCCAGATCTTAGCTATTGTAAATTGTGCTGCTATGAACATAGGGGTGCATCTATTCTTTCTGATTGGTGCTTTGGGGTTCTTAGGATATATTCCTAGAAGTGGGATCACTGGGTCAAATGGCAGTTCCATATTTAATTTTTTGAGGAAACTCTATACTGTTTTCCATAATGGTTGCACCAGCTTGCATTCCCACCAACAGTGTACTAGGGCTTTAAGGCAACATACTTTTGAAGTGTCAGAGTTATTGAACAATGGGCCTTAAAAGGACTGACTCCATCCTGTCCCTCGCCCTCCATCTGAACCATAGGCACTCCATCTTGTTCCCGTAATCTCCATTTTGTAAGAACTGCCGTTTAAAATTTTCTGCTAAACACAGATGGTCTTTTGTTCTGTTCATTCCAGGAAGTAACTAAACCAGAGAGCCTCCCTGATAGAAGTAACTCTGCTATTTCTAGCTTCTGTAAGCACGCTTGCTCGAATAATGGGGAAAATAAGACATTTTGGGGGAGGGGCTAGCAATCTGAATCTGTGTCAGTAACCTAATGTACATTTTTATCAGCCTATAGTCTAGTCACTGCTCCCTCTTAATTATCTGGTCCGTCCTTGGTTCCTCCCATGCCAGGTGTCTTCTGGTTATCTGAGCTATGCTGTGCTCAAGGCTGCAAGCTTTCTACACGCTATCTGCCAAGCACACTGCCCCCATCCCAGCACGTGGTTTTTTTTTTGCCTTTATAAGCTAACCCCTAAGTTCATTGGGGGCTGCGAGGTTTTGGAGAGACCTTAGTCCTCTCACGGCCTCCGGCGTTTGCAATAAAGACTCCAAATTTGGCCCTCTAACTGTGGCGTCTTCTGTTTGACTCACTGAATTCCAATATAACATTATCCTTTTTTTCTAAAATAATTTTATTGATTTCAGAGAGGAAGAGAGAGGGAGAGAGAGAGAGAGAGAGAAGCATCAATGATGAGAGAGAATCATTGATTGGCTGCCTTCATCACACCACCTTTTGGGGATCGAGCCCGCAACCCTGGCATGTGCCCTTGACCAGAATTGAACCCAGGGCGCTTCAGTCCACAGACCGACACTCTATCCACTGAGCCAAACCAGTTAGGGCTGTTAGAGAGAGAGAAACGTCGACGGGAGAGAGAAACATTGGTTGCTTCCCATATGAGCCCTAACCAGTAATTGAACTCACAAGCTTTGGGTGTATGAGACAACACTCTAACCAACTGAGCCCCCTGGCCAGGACTTCCTAGATTTTAATGTATAAAATAAGCTCTAGGCCCTGGCAGCGTAATTCAGCTGGTTAGAGCATTGTCCAAATACGCCAAGATTGTGGGTTTGATTCCCCGTGAGGGCACATACATGCATCAACATTGAATGCATAAATAAGTGCAACAACAAGTTTCTATCTCTCTCTTTCTCTCTCCCTAAAATCAATGACTTTTTGTTTTGTTTTAAAGCTGCAAAATGTTCATTCTCCAGAGCATTTTCTCAACCTGTTAAAATTTTGCTTCCTGGTGATGTCATCAGTTTGGCTTAAATAAACTTAAAAAAATCATCTACAGGTTTGGATGTTTCTTCTGTGAACACCTACTAGCAATCATTCCCCATTTCCCCCAATTTTCCTCGGCTCCTGGCAGCCACAAATCTTTTGGTGTATAGATTTCATTTGGTTATTGTTCGTAATGCTGCTATTAACATTCATGTACAAGTTTTTGTGTGGATGTATATTTTCTTTTTTTTTTTTTTTTAATATTTTATTGATTTTTTACAGAGAGGAAGGGAGAGAGATAGAGAGTTAGAAACATCGATGAGAGAGAAACATCAATCAGCTGCCTCCTGCACATCTCCCACTGGGGATGTGCCCGCAACCCAGGTACATGCCCTTGACCGGAATCGAACCTGGGACCCTTCAGTCCGCAGGCCGACGCTCTATTCACTGAGCCAAACCGGTTTCGGCGTGGATGTATATTTTCAATGTTCTTGGGTATATACCTCTGAGTAGAATTGCTGTATCATATGGTAACTCTATGTTGAGCATTTTGAGGACCTGGCAGGCTGTTTTACAAAGTGACTACCATTTTACATTCCATCTGGACCTGTATGAGGGTAATTGCAATTCTGCAATTTGCCTTTTCCACTCCAGGACACATCGGCACCAATCCGAGCCATACATATAGACCTGCCACATTCTTTTTAATGACTGTGTATGGATTTATCACTTATATAACCAGAATCCTACCAAAGGACAGTTTGTCTATAAATTTCCATCCTTGGAAGTAGTGCAGCAGCCAATGTTCTTGTACTTACAGGGATGGGCAAAAGTAGGTTTACAGTTGTTTGTTTGGAAAAAAGACATGCAGGTTATGATTATTACAGTAGTTTTATTAACTCAAAAGAATGTCACAATGGCACAGTAAACCTGTTTTTATGGAAAATAATAAGATAATTATATATATAAAAGGCTAAGCGACCGTCCGACCGGCTGGTAGGTATGATGCGCACTGACCACCAGGGAGCAGATGCTCAATGCAGGAGCTGCCGAGCTGCAGTGACTTGGCAGCGGTGGTTCTCAGGTGATGTACCCTGGAACCAGAGAGGAGGGAGCCTGATTCCGGGGTGCATCACCTGAGAACCGCCCTCTTGCAATCCTGCCCTCTCGCAATCTGGGACCCCTCGGGGGATGTTGGAAAGCCAGTTTTGGCCCTATCCCCACAGGCCAGGGCCAGGAACCCCTTCTGCCCAAGGGACCCCAGCTCACTTTGCAGACGCCCTTGGAGCTGCAGCGCCCCCCCACCCCAGGTGTGGCTGGCTGGAGAGGGATCGCAGGAGGTTGGCTCCAGGGTGTGTCCGGCCCATCTTGCCCAGTCCTGCCCCACCGGCCACCTTCTAATTAATTTCCTTTCAATGTGCATGAATCCATGCACCGGGGCACTAGTTAAATAATAATAAACAATAACCTTTTTCGCATACTCACAACTGTAAACCTACTTTTGCTCCACCCTATATTTATTTATTTATTTATTTATTTATTTATTTATTTTAATCCTCATCAGAGGATATTTTTCCATTGGTTTTTAGAGAGTGGAAGGGAGAGGGAGAGAGAGAAACATCGATGTGAGCGAGACACATCAATTGGTTGCTTTCTGCACGTGCCCCTACAGCTGAGGTACATGCCCTTGACTGGAATCGAACCTGAGACCCTTCCGTCTGTGGGTTGATGCTCTACATACTGAGCAAAACCAGCTAGGGCTGCTCCACCCTGTATTTATGGATGATTTGTATTTTCTTCCGTTTGATTATTTTAATTTTTGTAATTTTCTCAATCTTTTTTTTTCCGAAAAGGTATAGGTAATATTTTATTTCTTAAGCTAAGTGGTGGGTACATGAGTGTCACTATCCCTTTTGGTATCTGTAAATATTTTTAAAATTTTATAAAAGATATAGGTGTGATGCCTGCTAAAACATGGATGAACCTTGAAAACATGTTGAGTGAAAGAAGCCAGAAACAAAAAGCCACATGTTGAAGGAGTCCATGCACAAAACAGATTAGTGGTTGCCAGGGACTGGAGGGAGGAGAGAATGGGGAGTGACTGCTAATGGGTATGATTTTCTTTTTGGGGAGATGAAAATGTTCTAAAATTGACTGTGATGATGGTTGCACAACTCTGAATACACTAAAAACCACTACATTATACACTTATTTTTTATTGATTGATTTTTAGAGAAGAAAGGAGAGAGAGAAAAACATCAATTTGTTGTTCCACTTATTTATGCATTCATTGGTTGATTTTTGTATGTGCCTTGACTTTGGTGTATTGGGACAACGCTCTAACCAACTGAGTTACCCGGCCAGGGCTACACTATACACTTTTAATTATGGGTAAATGAATTCTATCTCATGAAAGCTGTTATTTAAAATCGGTGTAAGGCAGTTTAATGAGAGTGAGAGGTGACCAGTGTCTTGGGCGTCCCGCTGTGGTGGAGCATTCCCTTCAGGGTTTTAACCTTCGCAGGACTCCCAGGCACATTCGACCCTTTAGGTCTTTTTGACTCTTCGCAGGTGCCCAGGGGGGCTCAGTGGCCCGGACGCTCTTGGAAGATGGGACATTCAGGGTTCGGGCTGTAACCCGGGACCCTGGGCAGAAGGTAGCAAAGGAACTGAAGCTGCAAGGTGCAGAAATAGTGCAGGGAGACCAGGATGATGAGGCCAGCATGAAACTGGCTCTGACCGGGGCTCACGCCACCTTCATCGTGACTAACTACTGGGAGAACTGCAGCCGGGAGCAGGAGGTCAAGCAGGTGAGGGCAGGCTGGAGGGTGTGGGGAGGCTGGGGCGAGTTGCAGTGCATCTTAAAAGGAGCTCCCAGGTCCCTGTTGGTTCCTTGGAGGCAGCTTTAACTTGCCTGTGAGACTCACTCCGACTAGGACCACTGAACCTGCAGTCCTTTTCCCTCGCTTCCATGCAGCCCTCCTAGATTTTGATGCGGGTAAGAGGAGGCTGCTTTCTCATCCAGTGACTCTCTTTTATATTCATGGACCATACAAGTCACCCTCTTAAAGTGTGCAATTCATTGTTTTTTAACATATTCACAAAGTTGTAGAGCCATCACCACCACCTAATTCCAGAACATTTTCATCACCCCAAAAAGAAACCTCGTACCTGTTAATAGTCACTCCCGACACCCCTCCCCCCAGCCTCAGGCAACCACTTATTTCCTTTGTCATCCAATGACTTCTTATACTTTCTAAAAATCTAACTCTTTTGACCCATAATTTCTTATAATATACACATTTTAATTGTACAGTTTGATAAAAAAAATGTTTCTTTAAAAATGATATTTTTATTAAAAGTCTTAAAATGAAGAGATAATGATTAAATACTGGTCTGGAATTAAAAATGACAATTGGTTAGAATTCTCTTGATTAGTTTGATAAAATTTGAAAGTAAATAAACCCATGTAATTGCCTTTTGATAAAAATATATTTCCATCAACCCAGAAAGTCCCCATGTCCCTTTTCACATGTTCTGTTTCCCTTTATTCTGTTTTCCACCCAGATTCTCTCTAGTTAGGTGGTTATTGAACCTAGGTCAGTGATGGTGAACCTATGACACTCAGAGATGGCGAACTCATTTTTTTGGTTGATTTTTCTTTGTTAAATGGCATTTAAATATATAAAATAAATATCAAAAATATAAATCTTTGTTTTACTATGGTTGCAAATATCAAAAAATTTCTATATGTGACACGGCACCAGAGTTAAGTTAGGGTTTTTCAAAATGCTGACACGCCGAGCTCAAAAGGTTCGCCATCACTGACCTCAATGGTGGTGACAGGGATATGAGAGGAACCATGAGACGTGGCCATCTTTTTGTCTCATTGAAAATCGAGACACCGGCAGAGAGCCTGACACATAGAGGACACTCCGGTCTTTGTGGAAGGTAATACTTGGTACCAGAGGAAAGGCCCTAGGCTGGGAGTTACGCACTTCAGTTTTCAGTCCTGCCTCATCCACAGCTATGTGTTTGGACATGTCACTTCCCAGCTCTGGTCTTTGTTTTCTTCCTCTGTAAAGTAAAGGGGGATTGGACTGGATCACTGGTCTCCAAACTTGTTTTTAGCCTTGACCCTTTCTTTGGTTGTATCTTACATGGAAGCTCATTCCATAGAGAAGACAAAGACAGCTTCTCTGGTTGAAGCAGCTCTCGTCGCATCCTGATAACCTGTATTAGTGCCCCACAGCTGCTGTAACAAGACCACAAGCCAGGTGGCTTAAAACAATGGGAATTTATTCTTTCTCAGTTCTGGAGTCCAGAAGTCCAAAAATCAAGGTTTTTGACAGGGCCAGGCTCCTGCTCCCTCCAAAGACTCTAAAGGAGATTTCATGCCTTGCCTCTTCCAGCTCCTGGGGGCTGTCAGTTCTCCTTGTGGCCACATCACTTCAGTCTCTGCCTCTGTCTTCACATGGACTTCTCTGTGTCTTCTCTATCTCTTATAAGGACACTTGTCTTGGGTTAAGGGGTAAGCCAGGGTAATCTCATCCCAAGTTCCTTAATTATACTTGTAGAGACCTTTTCCGAATGAGGTTACATTCACAGGTTCTAGGGGTTAGGACATGGACGTGTCTTTTTGGAGGCCACCAGCCAATCCCCTACACAACCTTATGCAGCAGGTAGTATTGTCCCCGTTTAACTGACGAGTCCAGAACGGTTAGATCGCTTTTCCAGCATCGCGTAGTGCAGTGCAGAACCAGGACCAGAACCCAAGTGGCCTGTGTGCTTCACCACTGAGCTGCAGCACCTCCCTTGTGGAATCCTGGGCTCTCCAAGGAAGAGGACTAGCAGCAGATTGCACAGAGGTGGGCTGCAGCCAAGCACATCAGAAAGTGAATAATCCAGATGATCTAGAGAAGTGATGCAAGGTTCTATGGGCGCCATAGGCTTACAATCCCGTGTTAAAGGGTAGGATAGCATGTGTCAGCATCATTCTGGAAGAGGGGCCTTATCTGAAGAATAAGTGGTGTAAGGCTCTTAGCATCAGGCACAGTGGCAGCTTGGGTTGGAGGGCTGGGATGTGATTAGGGACACACATCCTCCTGGCTTTGCGGTTTCTCCTTTCCTGCCATCCAGGGAAAGCTGCTGGCCAATTTGGCCAAGCGCCTGGGCCTTCACTATGTGGTCTACAGCGGCCTGGAGAACATCAAGAAGCTGACGGCGGGGAGACTGGCAGCAGGCCACTTTGACGGCAAAGGAGAGGTGGAGGAATATTTCCGGGACATCGGTGTTCCCATGACCAGTGTGCGGCTGCCCTGCTATTTCGAGAACCTCCTCTCCTACTTCCGACCCCAGAAAGCCCCGGATGGAAAGAGCTACTTGCTGAGTGAGTGCCCTTCCTCCTTGAGCATCTGCTCTGTGTGGCACTGTGGCTGTCCCAGAAAACCATGGGCTTGTCTTCAGATGGTTCCGGGCCGGAGTCCTGGCTCTCACGTTAGGTCTGTGACTGTAAGCAAGGCAAGAAACCTTGCTGGGCCTCTGCTTCCTGCTCTGTGAAATGGGCATAACACTCACTTTCACAGGGGCAATGAGAAAATCTACAGAGATGTGTTACAGTCTTTGTCTGGTGGAAAGCTTTACAGAGACAAGTGCAGTTATTGTTATTTCTCCTTCAAAAATGAGAGGATTTGGAAGACGAGACCCAGTTGTAGGTTTCACAAAGTGGAAAGCACTTTCTTCTCAATGCCCATATTTGCAATTCTCTACATGGCTGGATGTACTGGACCCTGGCTTGGAGGGAATCTTATACAATTTGTGTCTTGTCTGTTAGCCAGTGGAGTAGAGCAGGACACTCAGGAGGCCCGAGTGGGAGGGGTGAGTCCCCTCAGCGGGCCACCCCCACCCCTTTGTGCATAAACACTGGCTCACCCTTTCTCAAGACCTGCCCACTGGTGAGCAAGCAGTCTGGTCCATGTGTTGGCACATGGGTACCACCCGTTATAGTTTGCAAAACTAGTCAGAGACACCCCTTGTGTTCTGATTTAGACCTTCATCCCCACAAGATCCCTGGGTGATCTGAATGGGCAGTTGCTACGGGCCCGTTTCATAGATGAGGAAAATGGCATGGTCCAAGTGCTCACATCTAAACACTGCTGTCCCTTTCCATCTACAGAATCACAATTTGGCAGCAAGTCATTCTCTGGGCCAGGTCCTGGCCTTGGCTTGTCAAGCATTCCTGTCAGTAGAGTTGGTGTTTGGAGAACCCACCCACCGGGTTCCACATGAGGAATTCAGGATATGGCCAAGTACACTCAGGCCAGTGTTTTGGGAGCAGTGGGCCCAAGAGTACCACTCTGTTCTCAGGGGACCTTTTGAAGCCCCTTCCTTTCCTGTCCCTTGTCCTCCCATCTCAGCCCTGAGAGAGGTCGGCCAGTCCAGGGTTCTCCCCACTCTAAGAATGGAGTAACCCAGGCTCAGAGGTTTTTTGTTTTGTTTTTAAATATATTTTTATTGATTTCAGAGATGAAGGGGGGGAGAGAGAGAGATAGAAAACATCAGTGATGAGAGAGAATCATTGATTGGCCACCTCTTGCACGCACCACACTGGGGACCGAGCCTGCAACCCAGGCATGTGCCCCAACCAGAAACCGAACTGTGACCTCCTGGTTCATAGGTCGACACTCAACCACTGAGCCATGCTGGCCAGGCTTGAATCCCATTTTCCAATTCAGTTCCACTGCTGCTTCTGCTGACATAGATACCAGGAAGTGTCTAAGTCATGCCACGTGCTGATCTGTGCAGATGTCCGGTTGGTACTAGTCTCTACCCCACTGTCCCCTCCAGGACATGTCATGTGCCAGCATGTCTCTCTTCCCCTTCTCCCCCAGGCTTGCCCATGGGTGACATACCCATGGATGGCATGTCCGTCACCGACCTGGGCCCTGTGGTACTCAGTCTGCTGAAGATGCCAGAACAATACATCGGCCAGAACCTTGGGCTCAGTACCTGCAGGCACACAGCGGAGGAGTATGCTGCCCTGCTCTCCAAGCACACTGGGAAGACCGTGCACGATGCCAAGGTGAGCCCCTCGGCCCCTGCTGGTCATTTCAACCCCCAGGAGGGCTTTGTGGGTAGTAGGAAGGGGGATATAGGAGAAGGTAAATCTGAATTCATCAGAGCTGTGAACATCCATGTTGTGCTGTTCTTGGGAGCCAAGTGTGGCTGCTGAGTGACATGTCTGGCATAAGTGGTTGACCAAGTGGGGAGGAAGGTTTCCAAAAAAGGGGACAGCAGGGGCCAAGGCCAGGAGTGAGAATGCAGGGCTGCTGGGCTCCTTTGGGATGTGTCTTGAAGGAAGAGAAGAGGGAGGAGGCCAGAGAGATAGCCCCCCACACACATACCTGGCCTGGCTGGGTGGGTGGGAGGCCCACAGTACCCTCCTTTCCCCACCGACCCGCAGGCCTCCAGTCCAGACCCCCTGGGTTTCTTGTTGTCATTCCCATTATGAAAGTAAGACCTTCTCATTAAAGAAAATCTCATTAACACTCTTAGGTGTTAAAAGACAAAAGCTACCTGCAGAGCCCCCAGACCCAAATAGAATAATGATGGGAGTTTGGGGCCAGATAGACCCCCACAGACTTGGATCCCAGTCCCTGCCCTTAACACCTAACAGTGTATAATCTGAGGCATGGTCCCTGACCCCTCTCTGCTTCAGTTTCCTTATCCATGAAATGGGTGTGTGAATAGTGTCCTCTGCTTGAGTTGTTACGAGGATTGAATGGAATAGACCTGAAGCTCAGCACAATGATGTGCACTAGAAAAAAGGCCCTAAGTGGCCATGTGTCACTGTGTAAACAAAGAAAAGCGTGAGGCAGGTTGTGGAGGATCTGAGGGGTTCAGATCCAATTCAGTCTGGAAAGGGGAACAGCTTTGGTTTCTGAGCAAGAAAGTGATGTAAACAGTTCTGATTTGGAAGGAACTGAGGTTTCATCTCAAGATCTTAAATTGACCCAGAACAATGGTTTTTAAACTTTTATTTTTATTATTTTTTTCAAAAATTTTATTGATCTCAGAGAGGAAGGGAGAGGGAGAGAGATAGAAACATCAGTGATGAGAGAGAATCACTGATTGGCTGCCTCCTGCATGCCCCCCACTGGGGATCAAGCCCGCAGCCCAGCATGTGCCCTTGACTAGAATTGAACCCGGGACCCTTCAGTCCGAAGGCTGACACTCTATCCACTGAGCCAAACCAGCTAGGGCTGGTCTTTAAACTTTTAGAATGGTTTCAGGTGGACTTAGCAAGGACCTTGGTAGGGACTGAGGTGTCCCCCAGCCCCCACCACCTCAGCGGGATGCTGAGATGTTGATGGATCCTCACAGACCCCCCCCTCCCGCCCCCTCTACTTCCAGACAACCCCTGAGGACTACGAGAAGCTTGGCTTCCCTGGTGCCCAGGACCTGGCCAACATGTTCCGTTTCTATGCCTTGAAACCCGACCGGAACATCGAACTGACCCTGAGGCTCAACCCCAAGGCCAGGACACTGGATCAGTGGCTGGAGCAGCACAGAGAAGACTTTTCCAGGTTGTGACCCTGCCCACCTCTCAATGCCATCTAGGGGGAGGGGAGGCGCAGTCACAATGATCCTTTCTTATGTTACAGAAAAGTTATTTTTTAAATAAAAACCATTGTTCTCACAGATGGCTTCCAAAAGAAAGGGGCTTTGTTTCTGGGACTTGAGCTGGGGTGGCAGCTGCTGGGCACTGATTCTAACAGGAGACATTGAGTGGTGGGGGGCCAGTCCTCTCCTCCTGCAGCGACGGGGTGTGAGGGCGGAAGAGGTGCTTGGTAACGACACATAGGACTCAAATGCAGTTTTAAGTTTAGTCTAACAGTTGTGAAACAGCACTGTGACCACAGCCAGGGAGTGGCTCTGACCACCCTGTTCCACATTTGAAATTCACTCAAAAGTGTAGACAGAGCCCATGACTCAGCCAGGAGCAACACTTTTTGACATCCCTGCACACACACCCTTCGTCTCCAGAAAGCTAGTAAGGTCAATGGTGACAGCTTATTCCTTCTTTGTGAGGGTGGGGCCTCCCCTGGGTGCAGCCTCAAGATGTGCGTGATCGTCAAAACAGGCTGGGGAAAAAGCACACGGGATGTGGCAGGTCTGTGGCCCCAGGTGACCATAATTGGACACTGCTGAGAAAAGGTGATGCTGCTTGCCCTGGCTGGTGCTGTTCAGTGGTTAGAGCACAGGCCCGTGGACCAAAGGGTCTCGGGTTTGATTCCTGGTCAAGGGCACGGACCTGAATTGCTGGTTCACTCCCTGCCCCCTGGTCAGGGCATGTGTAGGAAGCAGCCAATCAACGTGTCTTTCTCACATCAATGTTTTTCTCTCTCTATCCCCCTCCCTTCTTTCCACTCTCTCTGAAAAGCAATGGAAAAAATATCCTCTGTTGAGGATTAACAAAACACACACATACACACAAAGGTGACACTACTTGCAGCGAAGGCTAAGAATGAAACCAAGAAGTAACAACCCTGCTTTGTTTGGAGGCAGGTGGTGCAACCTGCCATTTCCTGTTCACTTGAGAGAAAAGGAACAAAGGCCTAGAGAACACAGGCTACTCACCCAAGGCTCAATGGCCAAAGGTGCTGTGGCAGCCTTATTTTCTGTGGATTTGTGTAATCTCCATCACAGCCCTTTTTACTCCCCTTGGTACCTAGAGACTCACGGGGAAGGGGTGGTAGTTCTACCAAACTCATGCCATCTGTTTATTAATTTAAAAAGCACTTACCATTGTGCTGGGTTCTCAATATAGTGTTAACCAAAAATGTTACGCTCCATGCCTTGAGGAGAGCCAGATACAAATATGCAATAAATAATTACAGATTGACATAGAGCTGCAGAGAACAAGGATAACAATTGGAAGGGGCCTTTTTTAAAAATATGTATTTTTATAGATTTTTAGGGAAAGAGAAATTTCAATGAGAAAGAAACATTGATTGGTTGTCTCCCACACGCTCAAGCCTGTAACCTGGGCATGTGCCCTGATGGGTATCGAACCAGCGACCTCTTGGTGCATGGGTTGACACTCAACCACTGGGCCACACCAGCTGGGCTAGAGGGGCCTACTTTAATGGGGATGGGACAGCCTCTGAGATCTGAGGGGAGGACAGTGAGCCTCTGGGGCAGGGTAGGAGGGAAAAGACCATGACAGCTTGGGATTCCAACCTGCCTGGGCCAGCAAGAGAACATGAGAGATTATTTGCATCCAGCCCTATGTGATGATGCCCAAGTCCCACAGGTCTCCTGGTGGGAAACTTACCTGTCTGGGGCTGTGGCTCAGGGTGGTCCTGCCTGACTTCGAATCACTACAGTAGGAAAGCACATGCCCTAGCTGGTTTGGTTCAGTGGATAAGATTGTTGGCCTATGGACTGAGGGGCCCCTGGTTCGATTCCCTTCAAGGGCACATGCAGAGGTTGTGGGCTCGTCCCCGGTGGGGGGTGTACAGGAGGCAGCCAGTCAATGATTCTTATCATTGATGTTTCTATCTCTCTCTCCCTCTTCCTCTCTGAAATCAATAAAAATACATTAAAAAAAAAAAGGGAACAAATTGTTAAAAAAAAAAAAGGCAAGCACATGGGGGGGTCACACCACAAGGAGGGGACGACTCCCGGTGCCACCATGTCGTCCTATTGGCTGTGTTCCCAGCACACGTCCTGATCAGGTGGACTGCCATGTGTGCCTGGTCTTCTAAAATTTGGTCCCTGAAATACATTAGTTAGCTCTCATTTATTTTTTACTTTCTTAGCTATGATAGAATATACGTAACATAAAACTTACTATTTTAGTCATTAAAAATATTTTGATTTTTAGAGAGAGAGGAAGGGAGGAGGAGAGGGACAGAGAGAAACATCTATGTGAGACTGGAACATCGATTGGGTGACTCCTGCCCAGCCCCTTCTGAGGATTGAGCCCACAACCCAGGCATGTGCCCTGAACAGGAATCGAACCAGCAACCTTTTGATGCATGGGACAATTTGATGCAATAGACCCAGGGCTATTTCAGTCGTTTTTAAGTGTACAGTTCAGTGGCAATAAGTACATTCATTGTTGTACAACCATCACCACCATCCATCTCCAGAACTTTTTCATCATCCCATACTGAAACTCTGTACTCATTAACCTTTAACTAACCCTCCTACCTCTAGCCCAGGGGTGGGGAATGTCCAGCCCACAGGCCTTAAAAGGCCCTGGAAATCATTTGGTCTGGCCCTGCCAAGGCAATTGCAGGCAGGGTTCGAAATTCAATAAATCTAGGAGCTTTTTTTCATAGCAACATGAATTTATATTAAGTGAATTATATTCAGCAAATGATATTAATATCCAAGTGGCCCTTGTCAGGACATAAGGTTCCCCACCCCTGTTCTAGCCCCTGGCAACCTCCCTTCTACTTTCTGTCTCTATGGGTTTGACTATGCCAAGCATCTCATAGAAGTAGCTGCCAACATTTCAAAATGAGACATTCATAGCAGTATTATTAATAGCAAAAAAGTAGAAATAACCTGAATGTCAGTAAATGGGGAAAAAATGTCTATTCATATAATGGAATATTATTCAGCCATAAAAAGAAATGAAGTATTGATTTATGCTACAACATGGACAAACCTTGAAACATTATGCTAAATGAAATGAGAAAAGAACCACAGACGGTCACATGTTGTATGACTCCATTTAGATACCACGCACAGAACAGAATTGTGGTTGCCAGAGACTGAAGGACTTGGGAGAAAATGGAGAGTAACTGCTAATGGATTTGGAATTTCTTTGAGGTAATGAAATTTTTCTAGAATTGAGTGTGGTGATGGTTGTACAATCTTGGAACTAAAACCCACAAAATTGTACACTTTAATGGTGAATTGAATAGTACGTAAATATCTCAATAAAACTGTCACCTCAAAAATGATGTATCACTCCACATAAACAATCTGGATGCCGCCCTTGTTGGTGCTGTTCAGTGGTTAGGGGTCGGCCCTCGAACTGAAGGGTCCCAGGTTTGATTCCAGTCAAGGGCACGTACCTGGGTTGCAGGTTCCCTGCACCAATTGGGGTGTATGTGGGAGGTAACCAATTGATGTGGCTCTTTCACATCTATGTTTCTCTCTCCTCTCCCCCCCTCCCCCTCACTCTCTCTAAAATCAATGGGAGAAATATCCACCAGTGGGGATTAACAGCAAAGTGTCAGGTTTGATTCCTGGTCAGGGCACATACCCAGATTTTGGGTTTAATCCTCGGTTGGGGCGTGTGCAGAAGATAGCCGATGGATGTTTCTCTCACATTGATGTTTCTTTCTCTCTCTCCCTTCCTCTAAAATCAATATTTTAATAAAAGTCTATTAAAAAATATATGGATGCCCAGCTTCTCTTGGAAAGCACAAGATATGGCAGCACTGGGTCTGAATTCCTGCATTAACCCCCTACCCTGCCTTGGGGAGCTGAAGAGTGGCTGTCCCCTTTACTAGTAAACAGGGCAGCCAGTCTCCACTCCCTACCATCTCCTGGGCACTGAAGCTGCAGGTCAGGGCCCACTTTGTTTCTTTTCTGTGTGTTAATCCTCACTGAAGGATATTTTTCCACTGATTTGGAAGAGAGGGAAGGAGGAGGGGGGAGAGCGAAAAACATCGATGTGAAAGACACACTGGTTGGTTGCCTCCCCCATGTGCCCCGACCTGGGCCAGGGATCAAACCTGTAACCCAGGTACGTGCCCTTGACCAGGAATCGAACCTGCGAGCCTTTGGCTCTGACCGGTGATCCACACTGGCCAGGGCTCACTTTGTTTCTTTATGTAAAGTTCCTTGACTGGGCCATGTGTTTGACCCGTCACAAGGATCATGTCAAATAAGCAGAACTGGTTAAAAGATATAAAGTTCAGGTTTCACAGTGTTTATTAACAAGAGTGCTACATGCCTCCCACAAAAGCCGTGACAGCTGATATATATATCAAAGTATTCAGTGAAGGGCTCCAAATTTACAGAACAAAGTAAAGGGCAGGGACGGTCCTGGGAAGTAGGCTTGTGGGATTGGAGAGATTCTTATACACTAAGGGGGGTTTTCATGACAGGGAAGTAACATTGCACTCAAGTCCACCAGAGCCCAAAGGCCTGAGGAGGAGGATGGCTCAGGTGGGAAAACAAACCAGAACAGAGGCCTGCAGGTGGGGATGGAGACGAGGTTCAGTGCCCAAGCTGGCCTCATCCCCATGTGACCCTGCCTTCCTTTATCCATCCTAACATCTCAGCAAATGCTCAACACCCATCTACCTTTGCCCCTCCTCTCAATCTCCAAAGGCTTGGGGCCTAGAGATAATTTTTTTTTAATGCCTCATCTCATGCTCCAGCCCCAACTCAGGCTGCAAAGTTGTCTGGTGACAAATGCCTCAGGAGCCAACTGTGGGAATAAGCCCAATCCAAGCCTTGAGTGGGACTTGATGCTAGATTTGCACTGGAACCTTCCTACATCTGCGGGAAGGACCCTTGTAAGCAATAATGGTATTGCTGGCAAGAAAACCCACTTTTCTCTTTCAAAATCTTTCTCTAGACTTCTTCTTTCAAAAAACAGGACATGAGTGGGACTCCGCTGACTTCTATAGGAGATAAACTAAGCTGTCAGGAGATGCTCCGTCTAGCTTCC